AGTGCCGCCCTACCTCCGGGCTGCCGGAAGAGACACCTTGAATGCTCCGTCCAGCCTCCTCAATCTCTCGTCGATCTCAGAACTCCCGCACAACTGCAGTGCTGAGGATCCCAAGAGGGGCCAGCCACCACCAAGGGAGAAGGGGTGATCCCACCCGAGACCAGCGCCCTCCCCCCGGTCTCCTTACTCCATCCAGGCGTGCCCGAAGCAAGATCCACCAGCGATCCCGGACACAAGAGACGCCCCCTGGCCGAGGCCAGAGCACCCTCCATGCCCACCAGGTTCCCAATGAGCCGCTCCAGCTCCTCCCTCAGAGACGATGCCTCGGCCTCCAGGGCGGAGATCTTTTTTCTCTGTGGGGACGTGCCCCCCTCGACAGCCCGGCTAGCCAAGATCCGCCGCCAGAACTTCAACCATCCCAGCCGCAATCCCCTTTCCTCCCGAGGCCGCTCCAACTGCTCCAGCCTTACCTCGCAAGGCCGGAGCTCGGGTACGGAAAAGGACTGCCCAGGTCTACCCATCTGCCCGCTATCTGTTCTTACTGTCACCGGAGGAAGCCTCGCTGGCTTATCCTCCAGCGACAAATCAATTATCGGAGGGAGGAGGGGTGGCCGTCCCACTACCAGGCTTCCGTGGGCCAGGACGGGAGGCGCCATCCTCCAAACGCCGAAGTTTCTCGGGCGACAGGTATTCAGAGGAGCCCCTGGAAGCCACGGCCCCGATATTGTCGCCGGCCGTTCCCCGGGGCCACTTTACTTTGCACCTAAATGCCGCCCTAACTCATTCATGGATCTCGAGATTTATTTCAGAGAGGGACCTCTCATCTTTGTAGAGGGCCCTCCTAAAAATTCCGGAGGTGACCATCTCCTCATAGAACTCCTCGTTTCCATGAGAGTAGTCGTCCCATCCTTCCAATACACCGGGGACATGCACCTTTCTTCTGCACAGTCCCCCAGCCACACGAACTAGCCTGTGCTCAAGGATGTACTTACCCGGGCACTGCTCCCTCCAGATACATACCTCGTCGATGATATCTTCGTCGAGGCTGCTGTCAGACAGCTCCACTGATTCGGTGCTCCGCTGTCCCGCCTTCAGTGCACCAGCCCTCTCCTCGGTTGGGTCCTGTGACCCCGAATCTTTCCTCCTCGGCTGGTCTTCGGCAGTAGCTGATTCCTCCGGGGTTGCCGCCGGTTTCACCCCAAAAAGCCCTTCACTTGATGACGACCGGGCGGGAGCAGGGACAATACTCCCAACAGGCCGGTCCAAGGCTTCCGAATACTTCCGGGTTTTGGTCTTCCTTTTTCTTCCCATATCTATCCTAATAGGTTTGTGTGACGGAGACCCGACTCCGGGCAATTTATTCGGTTTGCCGTCCCCTAGACCGGCTGCATACACACGGCTAACGAGCCCGCTCTGCCCGGCTTTGGTCCGCGGTCTGCTTATTCCCCTTGGAGGGTTATTCGCACCTAACCTTCACCAAGAAGGCCATCCCCCTATCCCCCACCCGGGGACGCGTCGGGTCGCAGAGTTTTGCTCCGCTCTCCACACTGTTGGGGCTGTAGGACTACGCCATACACCCGCCCGGGGAGCCAAACAATTAACATAACCTTAATCTAACTTCAAGTTATATTAATAAATGTAACAATCTCTTTATTTTCTTTTATTTTGAAGGTAAAATCAATAGAAAATAAAAAGCAAAAAAAAATAAAAATGCGCAAACAGTATAAATATAGCCAAGCCGAGCTCGATAATATCTTACAATTAATACTGTGTAAAGGTAAACCCTGTCAAAACACGAACATGATTAGTTAAAATCTTACAATTAGAACGCCGCAACCAGCGCTACAAACATAATCAGTAAAATCGATCGACTGCAATTCCTACCGTCGAGTGAATACGTCGTGTTAGTAAATTGTCGCGTGTTTCTTTCTTCGAGTGATTTTTTAGTCAATAAATAATTAATTGACAGTGATTGTAAAGCACTTAACGGATAGATACATTAGTACATTTCTTGTGATTTTCTTCAAGTGAATAGTTTGTATATAAATTGAGTGTGAAATATTAAAGTCACATGGTTTGTATAAAAACAAAAGAATTAATTATTTAAAATGTATCAGTCAGTGATAACCTGTGACATTTGCATTAAACGTAAAAAACGAAAATTTATTAAAATAAACACCTATTTGTAGCTGTACGTGGTCAATTGAAATAGAAATTTATTCGTCTTTCTCAAGAAGCTATAGAAGTCATCGAATCTTTACAAGATAATTTTGTGTGTTTGTGTGTGTGTGTGTGTGTGTGTGTGTGTGTGTGTGTGTGTGTGTGTGTGTGTGTGTGTGCGTGTGCGTGTGCGTGTGTGTGTGTGTGTGTGTGTGTGTATGTGTGTGTCGTCCGTCCATCATTTCTTATATATCGTGCCCGACTCTTAAATGTTATACGCAACAACAATAATTATCGAGATATTAATTTATAGAGATAGACGAATGTGAACACGCGTAGAGATATGGTCGCCTACCGCAGACCGCGATCGCCTAACACGCGGCGCCAGGTGAATATAATTGTTTTAACAATGTCACTATGCGATTGCTTAGTGCACGGCGCGAAGTAGAGGTAATTGATTACCGCGCGCTAGGCAAACAATTACCCCCATAGCGACTGCAGTCTGCGATGGACAGTCGCATCTCGTTGCGCGTTCACATTCGGCAATCTTTATAAATTAGTACCTCGACAACTATTGCGAAGATTGCAAAATGGTAGAGGACTTTTCGATTCAGTTTACCCCACTCTACCTGCCCAGGAGCGCTTTACCATTGAGTACCGGACACCCTGTATATGTACATATATACAAGGTGTTCAATAAATCGCTTGCAATACTTCAGGAGATAATTCGGGACAAAAAGAAAGAAAAAAGATTATATACCTAAATATAAGTCCGGAAATAAGTAGTTTCCGAATTATAATTACTTTTATGTTAAAAAAAATACAATTGATTGTTCATAATAATAATTATAATAGCAATCACAATTTATAATAATAATCATAATTAGTTAAAATAATGATTTATTTTTTTTTTCAGGGTTCACAACATAATTCACTTGGCATCCCTCTTTTTTAATTTTTTTCAATTTTTTAATATTTATAAATACGATTACATTATTTTTAGAATATAGGATAAATATAAACAGATATTTAAATAAAATGTTCAAAATAATCAGCTTCAGGCCTTGACGAATACAGGTCCTTATTGTTCTACCAAAGGAATTCCGAACTGTTTGAAAAACATTTGGATCGTTCTGAACTATTACAATTAATATTCGATTAATCAAATTCGATTTAAACATCTGTTTATGTTTATTTTTCATTCTAAAAATAATGTAATATCGTATTTTCAAATATCGAGAAATTAAAAAAAAAAATAAAAACCAGGGATTTCAAGCGGACTATGCTTTCATGTGGTAAATCATAGGTAAAAATAAATTTATTATTATGAATAATTATGATTACTATAATAAATTATGATTGCTGTTATAATTATGATTATAAAAAATAAATTACAATTTTTTTAACGTAAAAGTGGTTATATTTTGGAAACGAATTATTTCCGGATCAATATTTATTAAACTTTTTCTTTTTTTTGGGTTCCGAAACCTCCCGAAGTATTGCAGGCGATTTACTGGACACCCTGTATTATATTTACATATCTAATTCTGTAACTGCGCACCGATTTAATTTTCAATCTTAAAACACAATTCTAAATTAAAACTGAGGTAGAAATATCACAAATTAAATATACAATCTAATAATATTGATGTTAATAAGCATCTTAAAACATTGTAAAGAATTTATTGTAAAAAATATTAAATTGTTTCAATATCTAAAAATGATCTTATATTTTTAAAAATTCCAGAAATATTTTTCAAAGAATCATTTATCAAAGAAGCTTCTTCTAATAGATCATATAAATTATTTACTTCATTCATTTTCGCTCCTATTTAAATTTTATATTTTACATCATTATTCATTTATTGTGTGCGAAACCGCCAAATCAGGCATGTTACAAAAACCGCGATCAAAAGGAATGCGCAAACAGCCGAGACGGAGCAAGGGCTTCCGGGAGCACATCTGGTCGGCAACCGACGTTTCGTGACATCAGCTGATGCCCGGCACACCACGATCACGTGTCAATGACGGTGTGCATTCCGCGTTGGTTTTTTGGCATTTTCGCGATTAGAAAAATACTCGACAAACAACATACCTTGAGTATAAATAGCAGAGCTCTCGCCCGGAGTCTAGTCAGTCCTTTTCTCAGTTTTCTCAGAAAAGATCTCAGTATTCTCGGTTTCGGTCGCTCGCGAACTTTGCTCCGTCGCACCGTTACCTTGCCGTTCGTTCGCCGCGAACTTGCGATCACGACAGTAACTGTTGTAATTCTCTTTTTTTGTTAGTTTTTTGTAATTGTCGAAATAAAAGTCTGTTCGCTCAATCCTCTCTCAATCTGTCGATCCAACCGTCCGCTTTCGCTTCCACCACGACGCAACATTTTGGTCCTTCGAGCCGGATTCGCTGATTCGGCATCCGTTATCAGTGCGCGTTGTGTGCCACTGCTCGCGTCGCGGTGTCGCTTATTTTCTTGAGTGCGGTCAACGAGATCTCGCGCGGAGAGATGAGCCTCGACATGAAGAGCGTACTCTGGA